GAACTAAAGTCTGATTTAACACTTGATTATATTTCACATCATTCATCCACATCTGTAAAGTAACTAAAGGTATTAAATACATGTAGTGGAGTCAAAGTACACCATTTACCTCTGACTTGTGTTTACTGCCAACCTAAAAGTACCTCAAAAATAGTAATCAATAATATATTGAAAAGTTATTTGGCTGATTGTTTTATATTGGCTCAGCCAGGTTATATGGGATGCCCAGTCTACGTACAGATGGGTCACTCATTTTGAAATATTAAACTTAGTTTTCTTTTCTAACATTTTTAATTTTTCATCCTCATGTAGAATGCTATTATGAAACACACATTTGGTTGTTTATAGCATAAAGAACATCTGATTTAATGTGAGGTAGGGAAATAATCATTTGAGTATAAGTATGTGTATATAAATATGTAATTTACAACAGCTGTAAGATGCTTGAAAAGCTTGAAAATGCACCTTGAAAATGCTTGAAAAGTGCTTGAATTTGACTTTGGAAAAGGTGTAAGACCCTGTTTATTGTATTACGGACACAGAGAGCAATGTGAGCGTCCATTCCCATTCATTTTACACCCGGAAGTAAGTATTCTCCTTACTGTCGATTGATTTTACAGTGATATCTGCACTACTCATCGACTCAAAAACACCAGATTATCCTTGTTAATTACACAACATTAATTGGTTTAAATTGTGTGCAATGCTTTTGTAATTTTCCCCTTCGATTCGGAGAAACAAATATGTGTTCAGAGTTTAGGATGGCCGAAGACACTACACTACCCAGAATCCTCAGCTATTGTTCCGCTTTGCCTCAAGCTCTGTGATTGGTTGACCTCCAACTGCATTCCATATGGAAAAAAAACGTTTCGTAAAAGATAAAATCATACTTTATTCAGCAGTGCTTGCTTTTACTCTTTGAAAGTCATCACATGAATGCATTGTAATTAATGGTTTGGCAGCATTAAACATTACACATCTGTCGTAGTTCTTTATTTATCTACAGAGATCGGGCCTCAGAATAGACCGGAAACTATTCTTTTACCGTTCGGTTTTAATTTCACAATAAAGTTAGTAGTAATAATTTGTTTTGATATTATTGTTTTTTATTAACTACTAGACCGCTGGGTCATGTTAAGACCATCTTTTCTGTGTTGCTGTGGGTTTTTTACATCGCTTTTGTGTTACAAATATCAAAACAATAACAGAATATATCCGTCGTAAACTAAACCAGAAACAGCAGTATATTTTATTTTGTTAACACTGTAAACTTGACAGCTTTTTAACCCGCACCTCCTACTGGTTAAAGCACGTTATTACACGTTTAGAGTAATTGCAATGCAGGTAGATTGTGTTGCTTTTTAATGACTGTTTTAAAATGCCTTTTTCTTAATGTCTTTCATTTTTGTAAAGCACTTTTGAATGTGTTATATTTGATGAAAACATTTAAATATTAAGAGTACATACTCTTAATATTTGATGAAAACATTTAAATATTAAGAGTACATACTCTTAATATAGTGGGAAAGTGGAAGGTCAATGATATAAATAATATAGAATAGAAAATATCAAGAAGATACTGTAAGTGATCTCGACAATAAAACAGTTTAGTGCCTGATAGGAGGATGTGCAAAACAGACAAACTAATAAGGCTTTATTTAAACATGAAAGAATACTTTAGGTTAAGGTCTTCTTTTAAATAAGAAAAAAGCTTTGGGGGTATCTACAGATATTAAGCCTGACAAAGTACTTAACGTCTAATATATTGCATGGTTTGTTTTGGAACTTGACAATCAACTTTCCTGCAATGTGAAGCACTTATTTTAACTGATATTATACATATTAATTATACTCTTATAAGATGTATGTAGATAGTATAAGAAATGTGCAGAATATGTTTAATGGTGGAGGTACACACATATCGATAGATGTCTTGTAATGCACTGTTGAGGAACCTGTGACCCAAGTTTTTCATTCATTGCATAACTACACCGTAGTTGTGTATATGATATGTCAATGAACCTTAGAAAATCTTGAAATCTTGAAAGGGATGTGCAAAATAGCCATTATATACAGTTTTTAATTAACTATTAGTAGAGAATAATGAGCAATGAATATAGGGATCTGCAGATAAATATTTAGCCTTCTCAAGCACCCACTACCAAATATCTCGCCTGATTGTTGGCACTTGACAATCACCTTCACTGAATTTTACTCAGGTGTAACTAAAGTCTGATTTAAGGGTTGTTTACAGTATATTTCACATCATTAATCCAAATCTGTAAAGTAACTAAAATAAATGTAGTGGAGTAAAAATACCAGGTTAACCTTAAAGAAAGCCTTCAGGATTATAAAAGACCCCCATCACCCCAGCCACAAACTGTTCTGTCTGCTGCCGTCTGGCAGGCGGTACCGCAGCATCCGGACTAAAACCACCAGACTCAGGGACAGCTTCATCCCACAGGCCATAAGACTATTAAACACCTGAACTTTGAAACAACATCCATAACATTCATCTGGCTGCTACTTAGAAATTATTTATCTAATATATCATATTCAATCACTTGTATATAGACTCTTATTGCACTATTTCACTTTTTACTATTTTACTATTTTTATTTTTGTATTTACTGCACTATTTTGTCTGTGTATCTGTTTTATTGTGTTGCACTGTTGGAGGAGCCTGTGACCTAAAGGGGGGGGGGGGGGGGGGGTAGGACACGTTCTAAGCACATGGTGAGGATTCTGGGTAGTGTAGTGTCTTCTGCCATCCACACACTACGAACAAATATTTGTTTCTCCGAATCGAAAGGGGAAAATACAAAAGCATTGCACACAATTTAAACCAATCAATGTTGTGTAATTAACAAGGATAATCTGGTGTTTTGAGTCGATGAGTAGTGCAGATATCACTGTAAATAAAATCAATCGACAGTAAGGAGAATACTTACTTCCGGTGTAAGTACCATATGTGTTCGGCCTACCATATGTGTTCGGGGTCCGTTACGCTTACCAATGACGTCACGCATTGGCTGTACGGTAACCCAAGAGGACATTTTACACGGTCAGATTCCGAATGTATTGAAACTCCAGACTCAACGTAAGAGCTTGAGCCTCTTCGGGGGATGCTAACATTTAAACATACACTTCATTCTTTACTTTGTCCGTTATTATATGTAGAAGATATTACTTTTTTCTCCGTCATGTTGTTTCCATAGCAACAACTTGAAAATAAATAAATCTAAATATATGTGTGTTCTACACACCAAAATACGTTATTTGAACACCCCTCTCGATCGATTTACAAAAAAAAATAGTATGGCCCGCCCTAATACACCAACGCAGTTTTTAAAGATATACATTTTTCAACACAGAATCATTTACCAAATTACACCATATCCAATCATTTTACGAGTCAGAAAATGCTATCTGTTCATTGCAGTTATTGTTTATTGAATTAGATTACCATGAGCTCAACATAATTATGTAGTACAAGTCCACAGCCAAGAAAATGTTATGTGCATATCATTTTATTTATGAATGTGGAATTATGGAATTCTAACACTGGAGTTTGTTATTATTTACTATAACTTTATTATAGTATTCGGGTACAGCCCTGTACCCGTATACCCGTATATCCGAATATCCGTTCGTTGGAGTACTATTTCGGGTTTCAATTTCGTTATTCGGATATTCGTTTTGTTTGTTTTTTCCCCGTTTTTTTTCAAATTGAATTTATTTGAAATCTCCAATATCAACGTAAGAGCTTGTGCCTCTTCGGGGGGGTGCTAACACTTAACCATAAACGTTATCGTTTACTTTCTCCGTCTTTATATGTAGATATTACTAATCTCCGTTAATCTCTGTCACGTTGTTTCCAAAGCAACAACAACTTCCTGTCAACTGCGCTAACTCTCCTTCAAAATAAAAGCATGTCCATAAATAGGAAACCAAGCCAAATTACACTTAAGACGTATACAACTGCAACGAAAGTAACAAACACAATGCGATATCCTTTTCAATTTCAAAGAACACAAATTGGGTTACATTAACAAATAACTATAAAACAACAATACTGTAGAATAACAAAATGAATGCCGTGACTACACCGAAATACACGTGTTGAAGCGGTTCGCTGCTGATTACTACGCCCCCCCGCATTACTACCGAATATCCGGAGCCCGAAAAATGGTCTTCGGGACAGCCCTAGATCATTCTGCTTCAGTTTGTGGGCTACAGCCAGTTTATGGTAGCAGCACGTTAACAGCTTCATCCTTTGATCAGACCCTCGTATACCCTAGTCAGCGCCCCTAGTTACACCAATCAGCGTGCGATTACCGTACAGCCAATCACAATGCGTGACATCATTGGTAAGCGACGGACCCCGAACACATATGGTAGGCCGAACACATATGGTACTGACACCGGCAGTGGCGTTTCTATGTGTACAAAACTGGGGGGGGCAGAGAGAGGTGGGGGAGAGAGAGAGAGGTGGGGGGAGAGAGAGAGAGGGGGGGGGACAGAGAGAGGGGGGGAGGAGAGAGAGAGAGAGAGGGGGGAGAGAAAGAGGGGGGGACAGAGAGAGGTGGGGGGGGAGAGAGAGAGAGGGGGGACAGAGAGAGTTGGGGGGGAGAGAGAGAGAGGGGGGGGGGAGAGAGAGAGAGGGGGGAGTGTCAAATTACATACTGAAGACCACACGGAAGCAACACTGTCAGCGCATACATTTACGTACACTGTGTACGTAAATGTACGGTACACAGCGTGGGGATGTCATATTGTAATGCACCTTAATACATAAGTAAAGGGCACCATCACAAAGCAATTCTTAACAACAACAACAACCACCATAATGCTTTAGCATTAAAACACCATAGACTGTAAATATAAGGAAAACACAGACACTCATCACCGAGGTCACAATATCAATCGATCCAGCAGAGGCCAAAACACAGAAGATCAACAAAATATATGACATAAATGAACTTACCAAAGCTGAAGGCTCACTTGAAAGAAAAGCGGCACGGCGGGTCCTTCCTCTGACAGAATGTTTCTATCACTTTGGGGATGAAGTCCTGTAGTTGCTGGATCAACTGGCTTTCAATTGAAAGCATGGCCAATGCGTTAAGTCGCAGCTGTCCCATGGTGTTGCGAGTGAAAGTCTTTATCCTTTTGAGGGTGGAAAAGTTCCTCTCTGACTCGGATGTCGTCATCGGAGTTGTTACTATTATTTTGACCAAAATAACAGTCTCAGCAAACGTATCCTCCAAGTTGTTCTCGTGAATGGATTTCAACAGAGACAGGGCAGTGTTTCCAGTGTGAAGTTCACTGTGGCAGTAGAGCGTGGTCAGCTCAGACTTCAACTTCTCCTTGTTTCCCAAAGCAGGCCACAATTTCACTGCGCAGTCAAGCTCAGGTGTAGGAAATGACAGGACATGCTGTGGGAAGAATGAGCTGTCAACGAGCTTTGCAGCGATCAAATGGTCACTCTCAGTGGCGGCTGGTGGAAAATATTTTAGGTGGGGCTGTGGAAATGGTGATCAAACAATACTAGAGGGGTCCGGGGGGATGCTCCCCCGGTAATTTTTTTGGAGAAAAGACCCCTTAAATCATGACTTCTGGTGATGTTAGAGGGGGGGAGAAGGACAATTTGAGGCTTAAAAATATGAGAAGACTGATCAATACCTCCATAACTTCAGTGTGGTTAGCTATGAATCTTCCAAAACTTCCAAACACCTTGTCCTGGACATAGTTTCTACAGCATAAACTGTGCAACAGTACAGTAGGCCCACACAAACTGCAGAACACCGGGGCTTTGGGAACACTGATTTAATTCCCATTTAATCTGTTAAGGGGCTTTTTTCCCCCGTTTTTTTTCTCACGAAACTGTGTCTCAGGGCTTCTTAAAATGTAATAAACTATTCATGTGTCCTACTCAGAGGAAACGCATCTAACTGATGATATGAACCATGTTTACCGAAACAAAACACAAGTCTCACAAGAAGCGTCTAAATGAGCCCTGAGCGGAAAAATGCTAACGCACTCTAGGTATAAATCAATCGATATACTTATCGGATATGCACAAACAAGCTTACAAGCTGAGATTCCACATATTTTAGAAATATAAGTATCATCACTGAGCGATCAGAACTCGCGACAGGGGAAGCAAATACAGACATCACACGACGTAGCTTTAGGTAGCAAAACATGGAGATATGCTCACCTTTTGCAGAATAACAATTCTGATCAAAAACGAGAAAAACGCAGCTGAAGGTGAATCCATAGGTTAATCCAATGTGTCTGTCACTTTGAAAAATGATTGATGATCCATAATTCCATTTTTATGTCAAAAACGGAGTTTTCATTAGCTGCTAATGATAGCTTCCAGAGTGTATGACAGCTTCCTGTTTTGTCTCCTTGGATACGAGTCCAAACAACTCACAGACTGCACCGGGCACTCACGTAGGAGCCCTGTGACCATCAGATTTGACGACGCTGATTGGCTGAAATTATGTTTCGGCGGCATAGTTTTAAATATAGCAACAGTTGGCTTCTGCTGCACTTGCTGGCTGCACTCTCGTCTGGGCGCTGTGCATAGCGCCCAGACGAGAGTGAGTAATGATACACGGGCAAGGCCAGGCAGGAAACATGTGACTTATCAGTAACTTTAGACATCGTAACACAATTTTAAACGAGATTTTATTGTAGATTATACATTTTACTGATACCAATTATATAATATTTACCTTGTTTATTAAAAATAAAAATAAAAATAAAAAAATATATTTTTTAAATATATATATTTTTATTTTTTTTATTTTTTTTTATTTTTAATGTGGGAAGAGGGGGGGCGGCGCCCCTAGCGCCCCTATGGGCCGGCCGCCACTGGTCACTCTGTGAGAACCTCTGTTCCACCTGTGAGATGACTGTGTCACATGCCTCCTTCATTACCGGCGCTGTGCTGCTGACTCGTCGGCCTGGCTCGTCTGTTCCATCATGAGTGGTGGCGGCCAATGCATCAGTTTGCTGCCTCATTTTCTGGACATTTTCCTTGAAGCGGCAGAGCGCGCTGTTGATCCCAGGTGCATCGATGGTTCGTTTTTGCAGAGTGTTGTATAAAACATCCACTTCTGGCATAAGCAACGAAAAAAACTCCAGGAGCTGCATAAATGCTCGGTCCCGCAGTTTCTTTGACAGGCCGTATGCCTCACTTATGGTGACCGCATCCCATCCTGGTTGTGTGCGTATATGGTCCATACACTGAAGAAGTGCTTCTCGGGTCTCCCAAACCGCGTTCACAGTTCTGCTTTTAAAGTTCCATCTCACAGCCGGTGGCCGTGGTATGCGTCTCTGTGTTGCCTCTGCAAGAGCTGCAACACGTTTTGGAGCACCGGAGAAAAAAGTGGAAAAAGCAGTTAGATCTGCAAAAAACACCTTCAGGATGCTCATCCTTGCTGAACACAGTTGCTGCAGGGTCAGGTTCAGTTGGTGGGCGTAGCAGTGAACAAACTGAGCGTTTGGGTACGTCTCCTTCATGACCGTCTGTACCCCGCGCACATTACCGCTCATGACGGCCGCCCCGTCATAGGTCTGAGCGATTAGCTTTTCTTTCAGCTTCAGGGGTTCAAGAACAGCCTTGATGCTGTTAGAGAGACCTACACCAGTTTTGTCCTTTACTTCCACAAACTCCAAAAAAACGCTCTGTAACTGTGAGGTCAGGCATAATGTATCGCAGCACAATCACCATTTGCGATTTACATGAGACATCGGTTGTCTCGTCGGCCTGAACGGCAACAAATGATGTGTTGTCCACTTGCTTGGATATTTCCTCCCTGTACACATCATACATGCAGTCCAAGAGTTCATTCTGTATGGTGCTTGATGTCCCTTTGAAAACGGGCTGAGCTTCGTAGTGCCGTCGAAGCCTGGAATCGCCCTCACACATTGTCTCGAAAATTGACCTGAATATCCCTGGATTCAGAGAGTCCGCCGACTCGTCGTGGCCCCGCAGTGCTGTCTCACATTTCCCACACAGTTTAATACAGGTGATGATCCGACCCAACACGTACCTGTTTTCTTCCACCTTTCTATTATGATCATCAATGCCGTGTCTGTAGGCGCTGTCAATCTGAGCTGCAACATTCACCCTTCCCAGTAATCCCAATTTTACGGCATTTTCCAAGTGACTGTTGCTGCTCTCATGCTTCATTGTCCTCTCCGAAAGATGCTTTAAGTCCTTGTAACCTGTCCTCGACCAAGTACCTTGATCTTCACCAAAAAGCAGGCAAGGAAAGCAAAAGAGGGAATTCTTCTGGATGCTCGCCGTTAGCCATTTCTTTTTAGCAAACCACTCAGCATTAAACCCGCGGTTCACTTTGCCCGCAGTCTGGACCATTTGGAAATCCGGTGGATGGTGGGCACCGAGGCGCTTTACCTCCAGTTTCTCTCCGAGACTAAGTGTCTCAAATGTGTGCTCCAGTAAATGGTCAACTTCATTCATTTTCTTTCCGTTTTTTACTTATTTTTAATCGCTGGTGATGTTAGCTATATGCTGCTCTCTCGTCTTCTCTTCACACTACACGTGACGTTTCGCAGCACTGCACACGTGACATATTTACAGCCAATCAGTTCTGAATAATGTGAGCTGACGTATGGTGGGGATGGCAGCTCTGTGCCCCTTTGGCCTTTTTTTTTTTGCCACACACATTCCATTGAAAAATACTCTGAGCATGCGCAGTGTAGTTTTTACAGTCACCGTTCACTTAAACAGTGAGAGGGAGGGGCAGAATCAGGTTTTGTCCCACATGGCTCAAAACGGCACTGTAGACACTAATTAGAAGAACACAGACTAAAACAGCAATGTACAGACGAATCAGATGATTAAACATGACCTTAAAATATATTTTATATATTTTTTTATTTCTTTTTTTGCATCTTTTTGCATTTTTTGTTTTCATTATGTGTAATACTTTCTGCTGACACTAGGTGGGGCTGTGCCCCACCTGCCCCTAATGACCAGTCGCCACTGGACACCGGGTGTAAAATCCTCCGTTATCCAATGGGAATGGACGCTCATCGCTCTTTGGGTCCGTAATACAATAAAGGGGACATGATCAAATAGGAATATAATTATCTTTTAAATAACGTTAACTAAAGGGAACAATCTATTTGACACAGCTGAAGCTCTGGCCTTCCTTAAAAACTAACTAATTTAATAAAAATCACAGTTGTATTACACACAATGCACTGTTTTTTGAGAACAAAAATTGGTAAATAATGCACCATAATACATTCTGACGAAAAATAAAAATTATTATGAATACAAATAAAATAAAAGAAGCCTCCCGTGAGTTACTACAAGCTATAAAGTAGATTTTAAAAACGTTTTATAGAATAAAAGCTCACTGCGGGACGTTGTAGAATGCGTGTGTGCACCACGACAAAGGAGCCTCATTCACTTTACATTGGGGTTGTTTGCGTGGTGCAGACACGTAAATGTAGCAAAGTTCGTGACTCCACCACGCACTGCGGTGTTAAGGAGTCGTGGTGGAGTCACGCATTCTGGTGAGACCAGGTTGGGGTAGCTTGTGAATTTACTCCAGGTGGAACTACAGTCTGATTTAACACTTGATTATATTTCACATCATTCATCCACATCTGTAAAGTAACTAAAGGTATTAAATACATGTAGTGAAGTAATAGTACACCATTTACCTCTGACTTATGTTTACTGCCAACCTAAAAGTACCTCAAAAATAGTAATCAATAATGTATTGAAAAGTTATTTGGCTGATTGTTTTATATTGGCTCAGCCAGGTTATATGGGATGCCCAGTCTACGTACAGATGGGTCACTCATTTTGAAATATTAAACTTAGTTTTCTTTTCTAACATTTTTAATTTTTCATCCTCATGTAGAATGCTATTATGAAACACACATTTGGTTGTTTATAGCATAAAGAACATCTGATTTAATGTGAGGTAGGGAAATAATCATTTGAGTATAAGTATGTGTATATAAATATGTCATTTACAACAGCTGTAAGATGCTTGAAAAGCTTGAAAATGCACCTTGAAAATGCTTGAAAAGTGCTTGAATTTGACTTTGGAAAAGGTGTAAGAACCCTGCCTATATCAGTATATAGCATGAATAATAATCACACATCACTCATATTTGTTATGAATAATCATTTATCATTTATTAAATAGTAAGTCGCTTTGGATAAAAGCGTCAGCTAAATGCAATTTATGAAAGCCTCACTCAGGATTTTTTTAACAAGTGTTTTTATTGCTCTTGGGGCATTAAAAACAAGATTTTAACTTTAGTTTTTTATATAATATCTGCATTTTCTCTTGTGAAAAACTAAGTCTTACGGACCGTCTCCACAGCAGCGTTAAAAAAATCTTGGAGGTGGGCGTATCTGAGGCTTGGGGATTTTTTTGCGATCAACCAATCACATGAATCTCCCGCCCGCGACATACGAAGCCAAAAAGCCCGAAGTAAACTGGATATAAACTCCCCAAAACAGGCGAAAACATACCACTGTCTCTGCCACCTCCCTCCATGCCTGGCTCCTCCGGTTTATATCCCGGTAGGTCTGGTCATAAAGCACCGGGTGATTGATTCCCTACCGCTAATTTCTCCTCCATTTTTTGGAATATGAGGAAATGACCTGCGGTCTGGCTCTCCCAGCATACACGCCGTTTGATTGGCTAGAGCTTGAACTGTCAGATTTGCGTACACGGGATTTGATTGGCTGACGCTTCCTCCTCAGCTTCAAAAGTTGAACATTGTTCAACTTTGGATCTTGAAAATCCTGAGAATCTCCGCTCGCCTGCCCACAATGCATTTCGGCGAAAGCGAAAAAAAGTGACGTCACCCCATTCAAAGTGAATGGGCAGAAGCGTTTCAAGATTTTTTAACGCTGCCGTGGAGACGGCCCGTTAGACAGACACATGCTTCATGTTACGTCATTTTGTACAAGATAATAAAGTAAGAGTATGTATCAAATATGTTGTTTGTTTTTAGTTTAATATATTGAAAGTTGACATAGTAATAATGGCTGAAAATGTTTAATTAAATTCAACTTAATTTTTGTATGTAGAAATTAAACTATTGAATTGATCTGAATGTACAAAAAGAAAAAAGGTTACTGTTACATAATCCATTTTAGTAAACTTAATATGGGTTTAGTGAGTACATTTTACTCGGAATAGTTGAGGTGAAAATTATCAGTATAATTAAATTGAAATGACTCGAAAATAATAAGTACAGTGAACTTAAAAAAAAAATCTGGATTTAGATAACTTTGTTTCGTGCAACCACTTACCTTAATAAAATTAATTAAATTCAACATAACAATTTTTTCAGTGCAGTTCAATACACATTATTCTTATTCTTATCATTCTTTATGAGCGCAGGTAAGGTATCTAATTACTTATTTATTTAGTATTCCATAACTTATTAACACAGTTGGTCAAACTAAAGTGGAGACATGGCAGAAATCCTACAATGAAACGGGACCGTTGAGAGAGTAAACGAGAGACTGAGGAGCCCCCGAAAAAATGTTAACACCATAGGCCCTAAATATATTTGTAGAAAGGCAGGAAATTGAATTAAATCGGAAAAATGTTTAATTGTGGAGGACCCCTGTTTCGTGTCTCCCCCCCACTTCTCAAACCAAAGTTACACCCTTGGATTTTAAACAAAGTCACGTGACCACAACAATATTAGAAAAAATATATATTTGTATTTATTTTTGGATCTTAAAATCAGACCTGTTTTTTAAATAAAAGCTGACGGCAGGCAGGCAGCTCTGATCATCTAATGATAATGTGCCACACCTAATCGCCGGCCATTCAGCCACAGCTCCCTCTATACAAATCAAACTGTAGACGGTGTGAAAGCGCCTATTGTTTTAAATAATGGTCGGAATGTGAGCCTTCTCAATTACCGTGGGTAAGCGAATTGTGCCTCCTATGTACAAGGTTAACATTGAAAGTGATGATGATATGTCCCAATGCGTCTCAATTTACATGTTACTCCAGCTGCCTATCAGTTTACTCCACTCAAATGGCGCAAAACTCGCGTTCCATGGACAGACGTGTAATACACTCAAATTACAATAGATGGGGCTCTAGACTCATTTATAACATTTGTAAAAATGTTGTTAACGCTCTGGGTGTGTGAGACGAGTGAACCAACACGTAAAACCTCCGGAATTAAAACAGTTTAATCGAGTTTGAGCACTAAGATACCCATGTTTTTAACACTTTAGTGGGGTAAACATGTTATCTTTTCACTCTGGGTGTGTGGGACAAGTGAACCAACACTTAAGACCTCCGGAATTAAAAACAGTTTAACCCTTAAGAGTGGCCCCTGGGGCCATTTTTCGAGTAGCAATGCCTTAGCCTTTCCCTATGCAATACTTTAGATTACATCTTGTTCTTATTGTTTCAAAGGCATGGCCAAAGGTTTGCCTTCTGGACTCTGGAGGCCAGAAGCTTGCTCGAGGGAACCCTTCAGCCAGTGTTCAGAGTGCACTCTCAGGACCGCACTATCAGGACCGCACTCACAGGACCCTATTTTTTGGTGACACTGCCACCTGAATATGAATGACAACGCAGAGAGTGTGAGTAATGTGAAGTGCTTTTAAAGTTTTATTTGTTTAACATTAATAACAATTCCGGTGTCTTGAAATGAAGTGTGATTAGCTAACATTAACTATGATAGTCTTAAGGCAATACAAACAAACATCTGTTAGCTTATGATAGCTTCTAACAGTATTAAAGGCACTAAATACAATTATTCGTTAGCTATAGCTTTCGGTAAAAGCATTATTAGCAAAAGCAACGGTGGAGGCCATGACAGTTGCATGTTGTTTTATTCGAATCAGAAGATGTTTCGTGTAAGACACATGCTTCATGTTACGTCATTTTGTACAAG